CCCTCCCTGGCTGGCTGCACTTGGGGTGGTGCTGGGGCTCAAAGGGCATCTGCAGAGTGAGCAGGGAAGAGGGGGAGCCCTCTGGCATGTGGGCCCCTTAGTCTGGCCTGTGGGGATCGGGATGTAACCAGGAGTCCAACATCCCCCGAGGGGTCCCAAAGTGCAAGAGGGCACTCTGCAAAGTTGCTGTCGCTCAGCAGCTCCTGCGTTGAGCGTCTGCCCCCTGGTGGTCATTGTGTGTCATAGCTACTGGCCAGTTGGCTGGTCGCTGGTCAGCCAGATGTTTAGGCTTTTATATATACCGATTTTTTTCTTCATTAATGACCCATTCCTTTTCTCACCTTTCTCCCAACAAAAGGATTTCAATGAGATTTTTTTTTAATCCTCACCCAAAGATATGTTTATTGATTTTTAGAGAGGGAAAGCGAGAGAGAGATGAGAGAGAAACATCAATTGGTTGCCTTCCATTGGTGCACCGGACAATGCTCCAACTAACTGAACCACTCGGCCAGGGCGTAATGGGATTTTGATAGGCATTGTGTGAGATTCTGTGCACCTGTGCTTCTACCCTCTCACCACCACCCCTGTTGTTTCAAGGTATCTGTGTTATCACCTGTGGTTTTGTTAATATCTTTCATTTAGATTTATATATCTCTTACACACACAAAAAAACAACATTTAAGGCAATTCAATGATGTAGGTTAATTAAAACATTCACTCCACTCTCCAGTATGATTCATGTACTATGGTCCCTGGTGAGGATGCCAGGAGGTTTTTTTAAAGGAAAGGAGAGAAATTAATTGCTATTGAGATTCTACTTAGTGCCAAGGCTGGGCTATGTGATTTTTCCAAACATTTTATCATTTAATCATAACAACAATCTTGTCTCCTGATTGTGAAGATATTCGATTTGGAGAAATAAAATAACTTGTCCAAAGCCTCTCAAAATCTAAGTGCCATACTTGGGTTTTGAGCTTGAATATGTCTGACTTCAGAGTCTAAGAGTCACAGAACTGAATGTGATTGTTGAAGATCTAATACATCTCAAAAAGGCCCCTTTGTTTTCATATCTTGATTCCCCCCCCCCAACCCGCCCCAATGGCTAATATGGTAAGGATTATGTTTTAAACCTAGAAAAGTAGGTGGGCTGTATTAAAAGGACTTCAAATTTAGAAATTGCAATTTTTGTAAACATATAACTCCAAATATATATCCATATCAAAATACTATACAAAGGTTACTATTCCTAATTTTTTATTTACTTTTTAAATATGTTTTATTGGTTTTTAAAGAGAGGAAAAGAGAGGGGGAGAGAGAGAGAGAAACATCCATCTGCTGTCTCCTGCATGCCCCCACTGGGACATGTGCCCTGACCAGGAATTGAACCTGTGACCCCTTGGTCACGGGATGATGCTCAACCAACTGAAACACACCAGCCAGGGCCACAGTTGTCTTTCTTAACATGACGTGAATTATTTCTACAAATGAGGGAATTCTGAATATAAACATCTTGATAGAATCTTCAAAGATAGAACCATGTGAACAGTGGAATTCTTTCTACTTCTTTCATAAAGTGATTCCCAGCTTGACATGAGCATATAGATGGCCTTTTATTTTTCTCCATTCCTTTTTTCCTAATCAAAAGCAGATCATTTTCTGCCCTCTAATTCTATGGACAGGTAGCGTATGAGTGCTTTGTCTTCATGTGGTAAGAGTTGTTCTTTGATATAGAGAATTGAGATAATTGCTGGTAACCCAAAGTGGTTGGGGCTTAGTGTCATGAGAACTAGGAGTTTGGACGTGACTTGGTGACAGATGAGAAGTAGGAAGCTAATGCAAATATGGGAGGATTTGGGGGAAGAGTTCTGAGCTTCCTATACAGTTATTTCCAAGGTAAAATAGAAATTATTCTCATTACTTTGAAGCATGAATGCATGGAACAGATAACAGATCTCAGTGTATGGGAGGAGAACGTAACCTAAGATCATATATGCATAAGCCATGGACACAGACAATAGTGTGGGGAAGGCCTGGGGAGGTGCAGGGTTTGAGGGAGAAAGGAGGAAAAACATGGGGGACAGCTGTAATACCGACAATAAAAAATTATCATTTTCAGGGTATAGATAGTACTCTTTTGTTAGTGTGGGTAAAACATTAATTTCCAGTAAATGAGCATGATATTATAAGATATTAAAAACGTTGGTTTTGCTGAAACCGGTTTGGCTCAGTGGATAGAGCGTCGGCCTGTGGACTGAAAGGTTCCAGGTTCAATTCCGGTCAAGGGCATGTACCTGGGTTGCGGGCACATCCCCTCCCTTTCTCTCTGTGAAAAATCAATAAAATATATATAAAAAAAAACGTTGGTTTTATTCACAACTAAAGGGCTTAAAAGGGCTCAGGTTTGGGAATATTAGTGGTATAAGAAATGTTTGGTTACCGAACATAATAATGACAGTGAAATTTAATTGTTTTATGATGGTGTACTTATTCCCAAAGGAAGTATAATTCATATATAATCATGTTTCTTCTATACTTAAAATATACATAGATAGAAGTTTGTGTGTAAAAGATAAATTTGTGCTGTGATTCACTTGAAAAATATGCTGTGAATCTCTAATTATGTTAAAAATATTATTTTCTTAGTGCAGCATTATGCTCATTATATACTCTACACATTTAGCTTTTGAATATATTTCTGGCATGATAATTACATAATCATTCAGTACAGTAGAAACATCATTATGGTCAAATACTAATTAGCTACTAAAATGAAACAAAACAGAACCTAGCTCACAGCTTATTATAAAAAATGATTTAATATTATACAAAACCAAATGTATGGTTAAAGTTATTATTTGCTTTAAATGTGAGTCATTTCTTTTTTTCCCATGGGAAGGAATCAGTGTTCTGGATGCTTGTTATCTAATTTATTGCTTGAGCACATATTACATTTTATTTTCAGAATCTTTATGACCAATTCTGTGTAGTAGAGTATCCAAAGAACTTGCCAGGGAATTCTAGGCTTAGTACCAGGGTGTGCCTCAGGGCTTCTACACAATTAGGAGACTGGCTGGAGTCAGGGAACATGGAGTTCAGTAGTAATTAGTAAATTATTCCTTGCTAGGATGCTGATTTGAACATCTTTGTTGCTGAGGATGAGTGATCCTCAGCTATTTTTTCTTCCCCAGTGCACCTTAGGAACAGAGTACCATCCTGCTAGTAACATTGAATCTTGGCCATTGTGATTCTCCAGTGTGTTCATGATAGAAGAATAGTCAGGTACAAGGTTAGCTCTAGTACAAAGCAATAGGAGGGTGCAAAAAGGTTGATAGATCCCTTAGGTAAGTCAGTTAAGCATACCCTTCAAGGTATGCTCTCTTTGAGAATTGCTTCTGTAGATAAAACGGGATTCATCTAGTATTAGGAGGCCCCGATGGTCTTCGTAAATATGTTTTAACAGCATGGCTTCTACTGCTCTTCTCATATGTGTAAGGAATCTCGATTATTTCAGAATATTATGTCAATCATAAATGTTTCTCTTGACAAACACTTTACAGATTTTATGCTCCATCCCCTTTATCTTTGTGTTTTCTGTTGTGCTTCACTTTAGTTTTGACCACTATAGGTATTAATTTTATTTCTTAATGAATGGTCTGTAATGCAGTTGAAATATACAGGACACATATGTAGGATAAAGGACCACTACTAGACTTTCTGATGCACTGACTAAATGATGCTATCTTGATCCTACCACCTTTGTTGTAGCTGCTAAGTCTTAGGGAGAAAAGCAGTACTATCTAATTTTAGTTCTATGTTCTTGCAATTAAAAGATTATATAGGAAAACAATATTTCAGATCATGAAAATAATCACTAATGAATCAGTGAATTGTAGTATTGGTCAAACATCGTCTTTGCAATATCCTCTTATTTAAGTAAAGATAATATGATACAAATTTGGTTAAAGTTAAAATCATAAATCTTGCAAAGGCTTCAGAATTCATGAAGTCTGTGATATGATGGTCTAAAACATTTCTACTCAGAGGAAAAGCCATAAAACTGAATATCTGGCCAAGTGATGCTACTGAGAAAACTAAGGATGTTAGGTTCTTCAACTGAGAATCACTGGAATATCGAAGAATGGAGAGAGGACTTAGGAAAAATGATGAAGTCCTTGACTTTTTAAAAAATAAATATAGCTATGTTTAGGACCATCCTGTAAAAACAAATGTTATAGGAAGGATGTCATAATGTACTAGTATAAAAACTGTTGGAAAAAGTCTGACCAAAACCCCACTCAGTTCATTTTTTTTTCATTCTAAAAATAACACTAGTGGCAAATATTGCCTAAAATTATTTAATAGTTTTTATTTTCCTTTCTCTAGCTAAGTCCCAATCAAATATTTTGCCACTACTTATTATAAAATTTTATCCCCTATTTTAAGTAGATTGATTTCAAATATCTTTTTCAGAACTAAGTCTCTTGGATATAAGGGCCCCTTGTATTTAAAATATAAGTGTGAATTATGTGATTCCACATGTATAATCATACATTTTTTGCTGTTTTAGTGGTCTAAATGAATGTCAGAATTTTAGTTGAAATTAATTATGGTTAAATTACAAATAACTTATATATTTCTTTAATTCAGCTAGATTAGGCAGGGATCAAGATATTAGATGTATAGAACTAATTCTTTGAGACAGATCATATGTATATCAGTAATTTTTCTGGGACATGAAAATAACTTTATTACAATCCTATTAATGGCTTCTATTTGTATAACATTTTATTCTGAGAAAGTGAACCGTTGTTTCATTACCTTTGTATTGTGCAATATTTGTTGTGATGAAATTGCATGTTCTCCAAAAGTTTCACCAAAATGTTCTATGTAATTTCTCCACATGTTGACTCTATGACTATCTGTGAGCTGAGAGTTTACAAATAGCATTAAAGAACTGCAAGTATTTTGAGTCCACAATAGTGAAGCAGCTGTTTTTGCAGGTATCTTGTGGTCTATAATCCTTCAGAGCAAGAACGAACCTCACTGGTCTCAGTCTGTGTGAGTTCCCCCACAGTAAAAGTGTCCTCTGCTTCGGGGAAGCCTGTGAAAATTCAGATGAGTGCGGTTTGGAATACAGCCACTACTATTTCACAAACAGCCTATGAGGTATGTTTCTGCCACAGAACTTAGAGGCATCATTAAAAAGGTATGGCTAGTTTATATATGTATACATGACTCCTAGAACTGTCCAGTCATTGTGTGTGAAGCGGTTAAAATTGTACTTACCAGGAGGTTTAACTGGCCAGTTAAATGACGCAAGGAAAATAGATTCTGTGTTTCCCAAAATATTAGAACATTTATTAGTATGTATATTCTATGTTACTGTTAGCTCATATTAGCATGTATATTGTATATCTTTGTAAGCATGTATATTGTAACTTTTTCCTTAAGTAATCATTACAGAATGTGGATTTTTTGTTGTCTAACTCAATTTAATGATAATTATGCATATCAGGATTGAGATAAATTCCACCTTTCTACATAACTTTGGGTACTTTTAATTTTTTATTGCAAAGGAGAGACATATATCATGAAAGAGTTATTTTCTAAAATGATTCTTCTCCAAGATATAATTAGGGAGAATCTGGACCAGGTAACAGACAGGGAGGGGGATTTCTTAAAATAAGCAATATGAAACTAAACCCCAACATCATTAGTAAGGTTGAAATTTTCGAGTCTGGAGTGCAGTTTTAACTGTTACTTCTGAAGACACAGCCATAAGTGAGGAATTCTAAAAGAGATTTACTTCCGTTTGTCAAAAGCCATTGCTAGCTGCTCTAATAAACTCAGAATCCTTTAAGTAGAAATGAAAAGTATGATACAAATTTTGGTAAGATATTACAGGAAACACCCCATCTAGAAAATAGAACAGTAGTTCCTAAAAGGTCTTGTCTTACAGTATGTGCATCCTCTAAACCTTGTTCAGTATCTGCTAGATCCCAGGCATTGGGTGGCTGGTGTTGACTGAACTAGTGTGCTTAATACTTACATTATTACATTGCCCATTTTTCTGTTTAATTTACTGAAATATAGTATTGTAAAAAGATCCTAGTAATTAGGAAAAAATCATTGTTTGTAGTAAACCCTTATTGTTATTGGGAATTTCCCCCTCTGAACATTGATGAGCACTGTAAGACAGTTGAGAATGGTCACATGATTTCATTTATTCAGTGAAAACAATGTCTGATAGTCCTACTAATTTAAAGTTATTAGGTTACTGGGATAAACTGAGATGTTGATACTCTACCCTTGAGTTATCAAAACATATCTATAGAATTAGCTTGTTCTTTTCACCACAAGTATAAATGTGTTTTCTTTCAATAGAGTACATTTTTCTTTAATAAATTCCCTCTTCTATCTTTTAAAGATCTCTTTTCTAGCACAGATGCCACCATTGGGACTGCAAGTGTATACACTTGTGGAATCATCGAGTTCATATCCACATGTTGCTGAGTATGTCCTGTATAATGGTAACATAGAAAATAAAGGCATTTTCAATGTGAAGAATATGAAAAATGCTGAAGAAATAACTCTGGAGAACTCTTTTATTAAGCTTCAGTTTGGTCAATCTGGGCTTATGGAGGTATGTTCTGAATCGTTCTAAAATACATAAAAGGCTTATCTGTACATATAAAAGACTAAGCGACAGTTATGACCGGTCGACTGATCCCTATGACATTCACTGACCACCGGGGGCAGATGCTCAACACAGGAGCTGCCTCCCGGTGGTCAGTGTGCTCCCACAGCCAGCCTCCTGTAGCCAGCCCCCATTTGCCTGATCAGTATTGGGCAAGACAGGCCCTAATCGGCCCCAATCTCTGGCCAGGCCAAGGGACCCCACCCGTGCACAAATTCATGCACCAGGCCTCTAGTTTTATTATAATGTGTAGAAATTACTTATGCAAAGGGGAAACAGTCTTTGCAAATACTCTGAGAGAAAAGGTGAATGAGCTTTGTGAACCTTCTTCTTGTGGTCTTCGTGACCACTTGCTTCATACAAGTATAGTTTGTGGCTGGTGCTCCTTTGTGAACTATTTGTAACTGATCCACAAAAGTGTAGAAGCAGTGACTCTTTAGAAATGTCTAGAAAAATTTGAAAACAATTTGACAGAGTCAATTTATGCCTACTGAATCTATAAAAAATTTGAGTATGTGTTTGGTATATTACTTTAAATTTAATTTTCTAGTAATTCACTTTTATTGTACTTTACAAAAATATTGGTTCATGCATATTGGAAATAAAAAATAAGCCTTCTCCTCCACTACAGAAGATTGGAGAAGTACTGGTCTCAGTATTTTAATTTGTGTATCTCTTTTTTTACAAAAGGGTGTTTTGACTTTTTGTTCCGATTGTGAAGGTTTTTAATTCTAAGGTTAAGTATAACATTTTGAGTGTTCATCCAAGAATTGTGAATATTAGAGACTATTAGCATTTTTAAATCTATCCTGAGGTAACTTACTAAATTGACATACATGGAACCAGATGCAACATCATTAATATCTTAACACTGAGTTGCCTTTAAATTTTTTCTCTTTAGGAAATGATAAATAAAGAAGATGGTGAACCTCATAAGGTAAAAGTACAATTTTCATGGTATGGAACCACAAGTAAAAAGGACAAAAGTGGTGCCTACCTCTTCTTGCCGGATGGGGAAGCCAAAGTAAGTGCTGGTGAGCTGAGTTATTGTAGAAAAATAGCTTGGCCACTGGGTCATATTTCTTCATAACTTTTAGTACTTTAAAAGAAATAATACCCTTGTCCCCGCCCTTAACTGAAAAGGTAGTATATGCAAATTTTGACACATTTTTAAAATGCAGAAAACAATAAAATTTATCAACTATTTCATAAAAGCCCATGAAAACCAATGCCAGTATTTTGATGTATAATTGTCTTTTATACATACCCTTTTCCACCATCTTCAGGTTTTGTCTTACTGCATTACATATTTTTCATTGTAACAGTGCTCACAATCTGATGGTATAAGTTTCGAAAACACAATTTTAATGTACACTGTTGTGTTTTAAAGTTTTAGTATAAGATGAATAGGTCTGAAGGTCTGATTTAAACCATGGTGATAGCTATATTGTATAATTGAAATTTGCTGAAAGTAGAGCTTCATTGTTCTCACCCCAAAAAAAAAGAAAGTGTCTGTGCATATGTAAAAAAAAAAAAAAAATCCTATTGCTGTATATGTACATTTTCCACCAATACTTCATTATTGTAACATTGTGATAATCTTTCCCTGTAACATTATTTTTATGCAATGCTGATTATTTTCTGAGAATAACTTTCCAGAAGAGTCCTTTTGTGTTAGTGGATGAGACCTTGTAAGGCCTATGATATATACT